TGCTGAGAATTAGTTCTGGCCCTGCTTTCCTCCTCGAAATAGATATATGGATATAGTGAATAGTCAGGTGGAGACATGTGTCAGCTATGCATTTTCTGTACCCTAGTATACAGATTGAAACCTTAATCAGTTTTGGGGTTCCCTTCAGTTTTTAAAGCCATTTCACAGCCTCTTTGGAGAATGACAGCATGAAATGTCCATCTCAACAGGAGTGATGAGTAATAGGAACATGCTTTTGGACATGTGTGATTAAGCTACTGCTGAGACTGCGATCGCACATCCCTCCCTTCTCTGCATCACTGGTTCCCTCATTTGCTGTTGGTTTGACTCACTGATCCAAAGTCTCATTGGATGGTTGCTGGGGGGCAGCTCTGAGCAAACTTGGCGGAAATTGCGGGTTTCCACTTCCTCCTCTCATTTCACTGTTTGCTGCTCGCTTGACAGAAGGAGAACGCTTGGAGGTGCGCATGAAGCGTCTCGAAGCCAAGTATGCCCCACTTCACCTGGTTCCCTTAATAGAGAGGCTGGGCACTCCGCAGGTAAGGATTTCATTGAAAGGGATGGCTGTTGAAGATTCATAGCAGTCCCCAGATGGCCTCTTTGGCCTTGGGGAAGTGATCCTACTTGCATTCAAAATGTCAGTCAGACAAGAAAATTCAAATCCTTGCCCTAGCAGACACTGATATCTTGAAGGGAAATTTATGAGTGGGTTTAGGGATGATGTATTACTGCCTCTGGTCTAGAGAGCTGGCAGGGGAGCTGTAAGGCAAGTGTGCTAGGAGCCGGCTCTGAACATGAGCAGTTTTGAAAACCTTTTTCATCTCCATTTTAAAAAGATGGAGAATGCTGGGATTGTTTGGGGGGAAACATTGCAGGGCCGTCACAGACTTAATCAATTGCCGTTACTTTGGGGGACCCCAATTTAAGACTGCAGCGTGGTACGCTTTTAAGCTCATCCCTGTCAAGGAATACATCTGAGAATGGTTTCCCTCCTAACATATGCTTAGAGCTTCAGCACATGCTTAAAATTACAGCTCCATTTAAGTGCTTTCTTGAGGTGGGATCTCAACTAGAAAAAGATCTGTTTTGTGCAGAAACCGAGTGCTATCAAAAATATCTCAGTAGATTCAATCAATATCATAGGCAAATTTCTAGCTGCATTGATATCAATAGCCAAACTTCCACTGCCAACTTAGTGTGGTTAATGGGATAAAAATTGTTCAAAATACTAAGTGATACTAAAATACCCCTTTTCTGTAATTTACTGTAGACAGAGTGGAACACTTAGTTGTGTGAGGTGACAGATCTATGGCAGGCAGAAAGTTATTAATGTTTTCTTTTTTTTTTTTTTAATGGATCAAGGACATTTTGAACTTTGCTTCATTGGCAATCATATGAAACAAAGCAACTGGCTGGATAACTGAGGGCTCCATCTTATTTCATAGATATGTCTCTCACTTCCCATTGGCTTCCTTTTAAAGGATACATTTGAGAAAAAGAATTCACCTCTGTGTTTTTGTGTCTTTGTGTTGGTCTTTCTCTCTCTCCTTCTTTCCATGCAAAATCATCATTGAAATCTGCTATTAGAGTCCACTTGTTGCTTGTCCCTGCCATAGTTATGATGATGATGAAAACGAAAGGTATTTCATATCTGACTAAAAAGTAAACTTTCTGTAAAACTATTCCCCATTCATTACATAGATACAATTGAGTTCCAGATCTTTTTTGAGCTCAGGTGTAAACGAACACAACGGTCACTTTCTATAGGTGCCTCCACAGCTTCTAGCTTGCTCCTGGAAATGCAGTTTTGGACACAGGCCATATTGGGTTTTTTCCTGCAGAACACATGAGCACCTTATAGCAATTGTCCAGAGTCCTAGCAGAAGTTGGCTGCTAGATGCCTTTCCCGAAAGGTGGCACTATGCATTTCACATAATCAATATGCTGCGAAAGGTCTGAGCCAGAGGCTTCTGAAGTCACGGGGGGATCTTTCCATCAGTCTTTGCAGGCTTTGGGTATGGCTCTTACGAGTTTGTCAATTAACAAGCTGTAAAAGAGGTAGTGGCGTAACTGAGGTTGTGCAACAACAGGAAAACTGTCAGTAGTTATGTTTTAAATAATTGATTTGTACTGGAAATCCAGAAGTAGCTGTTTGATAGGTGGTTC